TTCGTTCCCACGACAGTCGGGTCTACGTAACCGGAACGACCCAGATTTATATATGGCCAAGGACTGTCACTTCAGCAACACTCCCCAAAAGTCTTTGGGGAGTTTGTATGCTGTTACAACAACAACAACAAGCTCTCTCTCGTTCTTACGCTCTTATTTTTTGGCTCCCCTGCTAATTTCTGCTAGTAAAATTTTTACTAGCAGAAACTAGCCGCTGTCAAAATGGATAAACAAAAATTCGCGCCAAATATTTTCAATAGTCAAATATCCCGATCAGCTGTTTACTATTTTTTTATTGTGAGCGTAATTCCCCCAATTTTTCCATTCTTCCTGATAATTATCTGCTAGAAAAGGAAAGAAACAAAGCCACGGTATAATTGTACTCCGATCTGGTAACTCACCTGAATGAAAAGTCAAAATTGGTTGTCAAACTTCTAACCTCAAAAAACAAAAATAAGCCGTTTCATCGCCAGCGAACAAAACTACCAAGATTTTCCAGTTTTTCCCATTTGTTTTTATAAAATATATACATATAATATTTTGCCAAAATGAGTTCAATCGGCACTGGAGTAAGTTCACTATATAATGTATCTGGATTGCAGTGTTCTAATAACATTTTACGGTTTTCGTAGTACGATTTGTCGGCTTCACAGTTTTCTCCTGACGGCCGAGTGTACCAAATCGAATATGCTGGGAAAGCGGTGGAAATGAGTGGCACAGTAATTGGTATGCGAGGTAAGGATGGCATTGTTCTAGCGGTGGAGAAAATCGTCACCAGTGCATTGTATGAAGATGATGCTGCTACCAGGATTTTTACAATTGATAAAAACATTGGTATTGCTATTGCTGGTCTGTTGGCGGATGGACGCTATATTATAGATATTGCTCGCCAAGAAGCTGCCAATTTCCGTCAACAATTCGAACGAACTATACCATTAAAACAGTTAACAGAACGCGTATCGGCCTATGTACACGCTTACACCCTATACAGCGCCGTGCGGCCCTTTGGAGTATCTGTCATACTGGCCTCTTGGGATGAGGAACAGGGGCCACAATTGTACAAAATCGATCCATCGGGCACATCATTTGGGTATTTTGCTTGTGCAAGCGGAAAAGCAGAGCAACAGGCTAAAACAGAAATGGAGAAACTAAAATTCGCTGAAATGAGCGTGGACGACTTGGTGCAGAATGCTGGTAGAATGTAAGCAATGGGTTCATTTAAATATCGTTAGTTGAATATAGAAAGACCCTAACTCATTTTATTTCAAAGTTCGAAGTACATCAAAAAAATTAGTTTTTTTGCTTACTAAAAACCAGTCTAACGAAAAAACAACTACTGAGGATCTTTAGTTTTTATAATGTTATAAAAGGTAACAAAAATGTTAGATAGGGTCTTTCTACATTAGGGTAACGATGTTCATATAAAGAATTAGAAAACTAAATATTAACTGATATTTTTTCTTAAAATTTACAGAATTTACCAAGTGCATGATGAACTCAGAAACAAAGACTTCCATTTCGAAATGAGTTTGGTCAGTAAAGAAACGAAAGGTCTACATCGTTTGAACCCTCAACCATGGTACGATCAAGCGGTCCAAGCGGGTCTAGCAGCCAAGAATGAAGATGATAGTGATAATGAGATATAAAACGTATGCTGTTTACACAATTAATTAATGTATTTGATTTTCCTAAAAACTTAAGTATGGTTTGACCTATTAAATAAAAGTCATCAATTAAACTGAACAAATAATAAGATCTTTGTATAGCTCGGTTGCTGAAAGAACTTTATAATACTCCTTTTTCTTAGGTACGTATAGCCTTAGCATGCATATAGTAAGTAGTCTGCTGAATTTGTTAAGGATATGCAGCAAACCAAAGTATCAGTAAACAACAACATCAGTCTCTTTTATTTCTGAACATTGATATTATTATTATTTATTTATTTGCACGCACAAGCATCAACACATACATACGTAAAAAAAAGCCAAGTCAAAAGCATTGCAATAGCATCATCAGCGTCTTTGCTATCCATCTTTAGGCTACCACGACAAAATCATGAATGAGCCGCTCACCGTCATTAGCAACGACAGCCAAGATGTTCGCGAGCATGCTTGTGCACAAACTACAGTGAGAGTCAAACTTTTTATTGATAAGATGCATTCCACTATTTTGAACAGCTGATGAATGCTGGAGGTGCACGAACAGCTGATGCAATCGTAGTAGGTTACAAGGAAGGTGAGCATGTTCCTTTTAAAGCGCTTTTGCAGTGGATTCCAGCGCATAAATGGAGTAACTAAAACAGCTAAACTAGGAGATCGTCTTAATGTGCAGGCAAGTTACTTGTTTTTGTTGCCATCATCACTATTTCCCATTTTATAAAATCCTTAATTTTAGGGTTGGGTACAAAACATAAGAAGACTAAAGAAAAATATTTTTTTCGACTTAAGTGATGGATCTACAGTGCAACGCTTTCAGGTAGTCATTCCAAAAGAAGCAGATGCGAAGGATATTAGCGTAGGCAGTAGCGTCAGCGTAAATGGAATTATACAGACTGCACCAAACGGTCAGCCCGAACTGCATGCTAAACATGTGAAAGTAATAGGTCTTGAAGCTCAGTATACATTCCATGCGTAATGTTTTATATAAAGTGAATAATTCTGTTACAGCTGACGGGAACATAGCCGATGGATATCCTTTTACACCCAAGCAGCAACACCCGCCAGAATATGTGCGTGAACATTTACACTTACGCGCGAGAGTTGATTATATAGGAGCACAAATGAGGGTACGCCATCGCGCATTGAAAGCGATACATGACTATATGGATGCATCGGATTTTATTCAGATCAATACCCCTGTTCTTACAACAAACGATTGCGAAGGCGCTGGTGAAGTATGAATGTTTTTGTTTAAATGAAAATATTTCAATTAAAAAATGTTTGGTTTATAATGAAACTTGTAGGTTTTCCGGGTACAACCAGATTCTTCTGCGCTCCTCAAGGAAATGGCGCGCCCAAATATTCCCGCCGAACAAAGCNCAAAATGTTTGGTTTATAATGAAACTTGTAGGTTTTCCGGGTACAACCAGATTCTGCTGCGCTCCTCAAGGAAATGGCGCGCCCAAATATTCCCGCCGAACAAAGCTATTTTGATGATAAAGTTTTTCTTTCCGTTTCCGGTCAACTACATTTGGAAGCTATGTCCTACGGCCTGGGTAACACGTATACACTAGCACCGGCGTTTCGGTCAGAGAATTCCAAATCACCGCTTCATTTAGCAGAATTTTACATGTTCGAGGCAGAGTTAGCATTCATTGAAGAGATTTCAGCATTAATTACATTTATTGAAAAAATGTTAAAAGCAGTCACTGCCCATGTCATAGAATCAGCTTCCAAGGATATTAGATTTTGTCAGGAAAGATCTTTGGGTTATGCTTTTCAACTATCTTGGCTAAATTCAACTTGGACTACGGTTAGCTATGACGACGCTCTGGAAATTTTGGTTGCAAACAAGCACATTTTTAAAACAGAGATTAAACTCGCAGAGGGCTTCTCTAAAGAACAAGAGCTGTTTCTGGTCGAACATTGTGGAACCCCGGTATTTGTCATCGACTGGCCCACGAGTCAAAAGCCGTTCTATATGAAAGCAGTACGAACAAATCCTGAACGGGTACATGCCTTAGATTTGTTAATGCCTGGGGTGGGTGAATTATGTGGTGGAGGCATACGTGAAAGCGATGCAAATATTCTACGTGCGCATCCACAACTTCCAAACGGGTTGGAATGGTATTTAGAATTGCGAAAGTTTGGTGGTATACCCACAGGTGGATTCGGTATGGGATTTGAGCGATACTTGCAATTGATTACAGGTGTTAAGAACATAAGAGATGTTATACCATTTCCAAGATATCCGCACAGTTGTCTAATGTAGTTCAGAAATATATACATATACATACATACATATTTACATATATATATATATATATATATCGTATATATGTTTACATATGTTCGTAATTAAATAAAGGAAGTTTAATAAAAGTTAAGATGTTTGTTTTGTACTAATTGGTTAAATGTTTCTAAGAATGGGTTTTTTTTATTTGTTATAAGTACCTCTAAACTGCTGCTGAAGTTCTTTTAATTCAATTCACTTATTTTTCCGCTTATTTTATGATATTTCAATACCAATATATTTTATTAACTTATTTTGAACGATCCATTATTTCAACAAATAGAAGAAAGGAGGAAATTCAACCGGACGTGAAACATTTCAAACGAAATATGATTACAATCCACATTATAGGTATTCATTTTGACAGTGACAATGGCGAGCACACGTTAATTATGATAATCAGCTGTTTCAGATGATCTGCATACGGTATAATTACATGTGAAATGGAAGAACAAACGAGTGGAAAAATGCGATTTTTTTTAGCGGATTCTATGCTATTTTCTTAGCTCTGATCCAGTACTCCAAGAACTTACAGGTTTTTACACGAGCTTGCAGGAAGTTACAGGAAAAATGATCCCGTACTCCAAAATCCTAAGCTCTGATCCGGTACTCCATGAACTTATAGGTTTTTACACGAACTTGCAGGAAGTTACAGGACAAATGATCCCGTACTCCAAAATCCTCTAAATGAGAGCGATTTTTGAAGAGTTGTGCAGAGAATGAAGTTGCAAGATTTTACCCGAACCTTTTCTACTGGTAAAATCCTGAAAAGTGTCAGGCGATCACTGGTTGACGTTTTTACTGGAAAAATGCTCTTTTTGTTCCCGCAATTTTTGTTGTTACTCAATTTTTACTCTCACTTCAGAGAGTAACTTTGCTGTTTGACATTTTTACAGGATTTTGCACGAAAATAATTAGATCGGAACTCTATAAATGAGAAAGATTTTCGGAGTTGTGTAGAGAATGAAGTTGCAAGATTTTACCCGCACTTTTTCTTCTGGTAAAATCATGCAAATTGTCCAGCGATCACTGGTTGACGTTTTTACAGGAAAAATGCATTTTTACAGGATTTTACACGAAAAGTATTGGATCAGAGCTCTTGATTCGCTGGAAAACGAACGAATGGTAAGCAAATCAAGGAAAACAACGAAAACCGAACCACACCCCGCTAACACCCCTCTCCCAATGGACAGACCCTGTTGCAGTTGCGAACTTCCTGGGCCTCCCCTTAGCTGAACCAGACGAGGAGGTGCACTGTTAAACTGAAGGTATTCCAAAACGAAGAATTTCCCTATCGATCCAACTGATCAAGTAATCACGCATCATGAATACTCCCAATTGTTAACTCTCGTGTTTCTATTTTGACATATTTATCTTAATTCTCCTTTCATGTTATTTTCGCGCGCCAATAAGCCGGCACATGTGAAGCGCAAAATTGCGTTTTTCACGAAAACCCATAGCTTGTTTTTGTTTATCATATCGTCTAGAACAGCATATTTTAACAAAACAAAAGTGTAAATCAGGGGCAAAGTCATGGCCACATTAATTGAACAAATGCTTGGCAAAATGGGTCTGCGCGATGAGCCCAGCATGCAAAGGTCAGTAAGAAATAAATTTTTCTGCAATTAAAAAAAGATTAAAAATTTCATTTTACTCTATTCAGCAAAACGCTGGAACTACTGCGTCTGCTAGAGTTGCGTTCTGCCAATGTTCCATTGCAGCTAAATGAATATGCAAAAACTGTGTTGTGTGTGGATGTTGCTGCCGAGCTGGTCGGCATAGCTTTTGATATGGTAAGAAAATTATATGGTAGCAAGACATGATTCAATAATAATGTTATTGAATCATGGTAGCAAGATATGTATGTGGATATATATTTTTTTGTTTCAGGAACAAGCTCTCAAGCTATCCAGTTTACGCAAATCGCATTACACAAAACATAAGAGAATGATTGAAAAATTATTGGACCTGAATAAAATTGTTGGAGTGAATGATATCTGCGTGCAATTAAATATGACCGAAGTTTCACAAAAGGCCAACGAATTGTTGGAACTGTATAAAACTGTTATGAAAGAAGAAAGTGCTGGTGACGAAAACGATTTGATACATCCTCAATATGCAGCGATGGCTGTTTTTCAGGCTGCTAAAATGTTAAAGCATAAAGTCTCCAAATCAAAAATATTGAGCTTTAGTAATTTGCGTCCAACACAGTGGCAACAGCTCGAACTGCGATGGAATAAATTTTTGACCAAACATTACAAGGACAAAACCGATAAGAAGCTAAAGACGCGTCTAGTAGAATTAATTGAAGATAGCGAAAACTCTGTAGCCAACGCAAAGTGTTGTGGTGATAGTACAAAAAGATCGGCCCCTGCTGTGGAAGATTACGAAAAATGGAAGAAACGAATTTTACATATGGCAGAAGAGCAGTTGAAAGAACAACTTAATGAAAAAGAAAACAACGATTTGGATAAGGAAAATATCATTTTAGGACTGTAAAATAAAAGCTTTCAAATACTTAAATATAAAACGCGTTTGACGCACAAATTTTGATTATTTTAAAGATATCGGCGCGTATTCATAGTCCAGCAACTAAGTCGAAACTAACAAAGTTGCAACTTAAATTTAAGTACCAACTTAAAATTTACCTCTATTCATAGTCGCATTTCAGACTTCTACTAAGTAGTTTGGACTTAGTTTGCGATATAGCAAAACGAGTGTGAAAATGTATCGATTTTTCTTTATGATATTTTGGAAAAATTACATTTTTATTAAATACTATCAAGTTTGATCATTCGTTTATGTAACTTTTATTTTCATTGCATGATTATGCAAAAGAATAAGGTATCATTTTCTTGTTAATTGTGTGAAATAGCCAGAACAACCGCGGTGATGTGAAGTCGATGTTTATCGAAAGCATACTGTGAAACATACAAATAGTAGATATCTAAATGTTATGCACAAATTTACTTTAAAAGAACTAGCGTGAAACTGACTTATTATTTGAAAATTTATCTAAATTATTCCAATTATAAAATTGTGATGTAGCTTTATTCGAATTGTAATACGCATTTAATTTCATCTTCCGATTAAAATGGATCGATCTTTGTAAATTTTAATTGGAGATTATTCAATATTATCAAAATCACCCTCTACCAACTTAATTTTTAAATATTTCGTCTGTTTTCCCTTAATTTGATAAAATACTTCTTCCTAGTTACGACTTAGTTGCAGCTGCAGCCGAAACTAAATTTTAAGTTGGTACTTAGCCAGAAAAGTCGAAACTAAGGCGACTATGAATAGCTTTAGTTGTGACTTAGAATAGTTTCGACTTAGTTGAGTACTAAATATGACTATGAATATGTACTGGCCCAATGCAGGCTTGCGTTGCTTGCTTCGCTCCGAGAAGTGTCAAAAATTATTTGGAATATATTAAAATGTATAAAGGCTGGCCAAATGGCAGCTTTTCTGCACTTGCTTTAAGCACCTCAAAGTTTGAAATAGGCAAATGTTTTATTTGAAAGCGTTTTGTAGGCTTTTGACAAAGAGGCATGTTCCTATTCAAATACATAAATTCAAACAAAAATTAATTTAAAAAAAGCAATTCGAAATGAAATTTAACATATCGTTATATTATAGTAAAAAATTGCAAAGCTCACTTTTACAAATTTTACACGAGAGGAAAAAACTTCTTATAGCTCTTTTCTTCAAGTAAATCCCTTTTTTAAGTTATAGTTTTTGTAGTAAATGTAGATATACATATGCATGTATCATTATTACCACTTCTTTTAAATACAAACATTTTTTCGCATTAACTTATAAATAAATCTGAAAGTTTTTGATACATCTTCTAGAGTTTTCTAGGATAATAATAATTAATGTTAAGGGAACAGACACTGACTTTTCAATCAGATAGCTGGTTACTTTGACAGCGTTTTAAGCCACCATTCGGCCAAACAAGTTTTCAAACAAAAGTCAGCAAAGGCATGAAAAGCAAGCCTGCATTGGGCCAGCGCCGAAAGCGGCACAGAAGTATGTCTGATACCAAACGTACATTCTAAATTCCTAATTACATAAGGCGGCCACGTCTTTGTTAAAGTAAGGGAGATTCGTAGTTAAGTGGTAAGAACCGCCGGGTACAATACCTTACCAGCAACTTGCACTTCACCCGGCGGTCCTGACCACTGCACTGACGATTCTCCCTTACTTTAACAAAGACGTGACCGCCGTATGTAAGTAGGAATTTAGAACGTACAATTGGTATCAAACATATGTACTTCTGTGCCGTTTTACAAAGTAAGTTACGTAGAATGCAGAGATGGCGCTCGGAGTAGTTCGGCGGTTGGAAATAACTTCTGCGGCACGTTATTTTGCAACTGATAACGTAATGCGTAGTCGGAGGTGTTCATTTTGTGCTTTACTAGTAGATGGCATTGGTCATGACAATTTTGGCACTAAAAACTGAAAGAAAACATGGCTTACGTCGTAAGGTGCTTACATACATTATTTATATACATATGTATATCTGAGAAGGAATTTACACAATATAGAAAACATACAAATTTCTTAAAAAACAGGTTTATTAACGGATTTGTTATTTACTTTTACTTAAATTCACAGATTTGTGTATATGAATGTAGTATATGTATATGAATGTGCATATATAGTGAATGGAAACATGCATATGTAGGTACATAAACTCATAGCGTAAAAGCCATATCGTCTTTATCGTTTGCAATATTCTCTGTAGTTCCGTTTGATTTTAACATATCCTTTTTAAGCATTAAACTTTCGAAATGAGTAAACAACATCTCGCCAATATCTTGCTTCTCACCATTCGGTTTGCGGTCTTTTCATAGGACATCAAGAATTTAATATTTATTTATTAATAAATTTATTTATGTACAAAAGTACATTCTTACTCACCATCGTAGAAAATTAACTCAATTTGGGCTTCTGTTTCTGGCCATTCAAAAACTAGTTTTCTCAAATACTTGCAAAATTTTAAAAGAATCTCGCGTTTCATTATTTCAATTTCCTTCGTTCTAGTTAACGGAAAATTTAATGCTTCGAAAAACGTTAGAATTGGTGTAGCTCCTTCCAGCGCCAAATAATAAAAACGATTGTTGATAGGTTTAGTGAAGCGGTAAACATCATTTTGATATGGACGATATACACCAGCCCGGTTAATATACACTTTGGGGAGTGGCTAATGTTGAACATACAATTCACATTACATATGTATGAATTATGGCGAAAAATATGTTCATCTGACTGAACAGTTTAACTCTAGTTACCTCTGCCTTTTCAATATAAGGGCTCTCGAATTTCGAACTTATGTAAAGTTGGCTCGAAAGAAGTACAACCAGACGGTCCAGCGCAAATTTCACACCATGTGTCTGCTCATAATGGGCAATGCGTTCTCTTATTCCTGTACTATTGTTATATTGTGCCAGTATTTGTTTCAAGTACCCATGAAAGAAATTAGCTGCCATACTTGATGCAGAATCTAAGCCGTGATTTCCTCGAATAAACGTGGCATAATCGAGGGTGCTATGTTCCAATCGTGCTAGACAAAATAACCACAAAACCGGCATGTATAAAAAATATTTAGCAGGTGGGAGCCCAGCTCGTACTACAGCAACAGCAAAAATGCTCACATAAACCACCATTGTAGCCACATTGTAACTATAAGCGCGAAACAATATTATTTTCAAACGATCTTCAGGCAAATAATGGTTTTTATATTTAATGTATTCCCATAGTGCTTTATGAAAGCGAAGTAACACATCAGCAACAAAAATGGTAGCAAACAAGTGCACGCAGTCGTCTGCAAATATGTACGAATTCAAAATTGGTAATAAGAGAAGATTGGTAACGTACCTATGTAGTAACCAAATGCATCCATTCTGGTTTTTTTTTTTGCAACTCTTTAGTTTTACGGTGCAATTTGTTATCACCAGCTCTCACGTCATAATCATGCAATTCATCAATTTCCGTCTCAACACTTTGCATTACCACAAAACAAAGTTATTTAGAAGCAAACTAATGATATTTAGAATAGAAACTTAAACTTTATTTCTGCGTATCAGGTAAAGTGGTAGTAGCGTTAACCCTTTAAAGGTCACGGTTTATACAAATTAATTATGATATATACGTACATAGGCATATATTACTACGTTTATGCGTAGGCCAATTCACGAAATCATTTCATTTAAAATTGGCTGTACAAATACAATTTCATGAATTCAATTATACACGAAAATTAACCAAGAAATTTCAGTATGATTCCATGAAATCGTGAAGTGCTTGTCCGCCGACGCCACGTTTCACAAACAGCTGTTTACTAGGGTGATGACGTTTTTAGGTTCAAAAGCATGTAGTGGCATAACCATGATTTAAAACACTGGAAGAGTTACGTGAATTTGTTCAAATAAAAAAAAATAAATAAAATAAATTAAAATACATTGAAACCAATTTAAATATAACATGGACCATTTCCTGGTACCAACCCCTTTTGCAAATTCAAAAAAAAAGGCCAAAAAATCACAACCCAACTGTTAAGTCTCTCGCTAGTGCGCTGCCACTTTTTCAAAACATTTCATTTCATGAATTGGCGAATTATGCATAAACGGATCCATTTTAGAGTTCATAAAATTAAGAATTTATGAATTCTGTCGCATAAACGTACTATATTCTCACACACAGTAGATTATATCCCATACGCAACGCGGGATACCGCGTGTGCCCAAAACAGCCCAGAAATCATTCCCGTACTCAACAAAATGGGTAATAGATAGCGAAAATTGGAACGTATTGGATCGTAAGTGTCTTCTTCTTCCTAAAGCGTCAAAGTGCATATCAGTTGTTTTTTGTTTATATGTTGCATGCATTAGGTGTGTACTCGTATTGAGAGGACAAAATTCTCCAGCAGCAAAAGTTCTGAGAATTTAGCAGCATTCGCTCTCAAAGAGACGAAATATCAACAGAAGTACGAGAACGCAAAATTTGCAAAAACTTGCAACCTTCGAAACAGCTGATCACTTGCACAGTTGCCACTGGTGATTAACTTGGCAATTTATTTTCTGTTTGGTACATTTTCACCTGATTTGGCATTTTATACAATTGAATAGTTTTCTATAAGAAAAACCCTTTTAAAATACAAATTAATTATATCGGAATGAACAAGTTATTTTTCTCAGAATTATTTGTGATATCACATGGTGACGCATTCCAAAACAAGAGTATCTCCTCCAAACACCCATCATTGATCCAAAAACAATGTAATAGATATAGCTACAGATGTAGCTTTAAAATTATAAAATTTTCATTTTAACAATCAACCTACCAAAACCGAAAACTTCAGCAAAACAACATTTCAGCATGCTGCATTTAAATCTATTTTGGTATATTTAAAGGTAAATTATGGTACAAACGAAGTCAGCACACACTAAAGTAGACAAACTGGAGATTAATAGCAAATTAACGAAAAATGAACCTAACAAACGTTGTGCTTATTAAATTTACTCACTTTTTCGTTGTATTCTAGCATTAATAATAAAATTTGCA